CCTCCACGGCGGTGGGAACGATCAGAACGGAAGATAGTGTATCCCGGTAGGGAGATAAGAGCAACAGGAGTGCTAGGAGAGAGCCACGTTTCTGTGATGCAAATGAAGGTTGGACAAGCTATAGTGGAGATAGCTTGGATGTAGTGCAATTTAGGTAAGAGAGAGCGGGTGTTGATTAGAACGACAGAAATTTTTATGCGTAGCGTATAACCAATCGTGGAATTCTGTCACGTAGTCTCCTCCCTTTGCACCCAAGGTTGCAGACTCTCAATTGAAACTGTCCTCATTCAAGAGAGCGGGTGTTGATTAGAACGACAGAAATTTTTAAGCCATGCGTATAACCAATCGTGGAATTCTGTCACGTAGTCTCCTCCCTTTGCACCCAAGGTTGCAGACTCTCAATTGAAACTGTCCAACGCTCATTCAAGAGAAGGCTGTTCCTTCGGTAAAATCCCCTCTTACCGCTTCCGCTGTAAAATCTGGGCCCCAAGCCACTATGGCTAAGATGGTTAAGGGTTAATTTAACTCTCTTACACCGTCTGCTGCACAAAAACGCCTTTATAGCTGAGGCTAGACCAAACAACCGCTAGAGACTGTAACTCCTGCAACCTTTCAGTGTGTCCCCCAGTTCATACGACCTACGCCTTCACTTCTTTCTTCTTAATTACGTCTCAACTGGAACAGCTGAGCAGCTGTGAAGCATCATGCATTATCATACATTTTCCCAGTCCGTAGACAAATACTTACCTGTGAAACTGCTGCCGCCTTACTTAATACCCTGCTACCCCCGAACTCCTCTAAGAATCGGGTACAGTGTGCAACTGAGTTTAACGACGATACGGTTAGTGAGTGAACAAAACATCCTGTTGTCATTTCTTCCTATTCTCTCGGCTTGCTTAAAGCTAATGTAGAACCTAAATTCATACTTGACTTAAATATGCTGTATCACTGGCCTGGTTGTTTTCCCCGTTTTCTCAGCCAACTTATATCTCGTCCTAATCAAGTTGCTACTCCGGTTTTCTCTGTCAGCTCTTTCTATCGACTGGCACTCTTAGCCCCATTCTAACTGACAAAAATCAAACCAAAGTCAACTTTTTTCTTCATTAGCAGAGCGCATTCAGCCCCATGTATATATATATATATCCATGTGATGGTGTGCCTCACCAAGGACACACGCAACATCGCGGTACTCTTCTGCTTGACATATTAGCTCACGCCAACGCTCCGACGCCGTTTACCCGTGGCGCACTCGCCGTGAATATCACCATTCCATTTCGAATCCCATTACCAGCTATCGTTTCACTTCTCCTCCACGACCTACCTCTACCAGCATCTGTGTGCTGTTTGCTTGTTTGAATCGACTGCGCTGTTTCATTGCCCTCGCTTTCATCCTACCAGAAAAATTGATAGCTAGAGTAATTACTGTTGCAAAAATCGCGTTGACGGCTGCTTGGATGGTTTTTGACCTTGCAAATCTGGTGGCATGCACGAGGAATGAAAACCTCGTGTGGTGGACGGGTACGCACTGCAAGGATGGTCGCCTTGTTGCCTTGCATTATGTGGCCGTCGTACGCCCGACATCTCTCCAGTAGCACGGGTGCATCACCCATTGGTGGTGGTTCTGAGCCTGGCCTTAAAATTCAGAAATCATAAAAGTACTGCTGATTTCTGTTTGTTGCTGCTGGTGTTGGGTTCGCCTCGGTTGAGTTATGTATCTGACAGCGCCATAAGCCACAGATAAAAGAACAGGCACCTCATCTATCAAAAAATTAAAAAGTAAAATAAAAATAAGGCATATAGCTGGGATAGCCAGAAGATAACCTGTGGTGCCGATGACCTACATCGACGAGCACAGCTGTATTTGACTTCGTCAGAACAGAGGCCAAAACGCATTAAAGCCAATTTCGCCAACCAAACAAAGAACACACTGTTGTGTACACATGATTGTTCCGCTGCGCAGTAGGCTGATGCGTAGCCGTATTACACACCTACCTGCTGCTCCCAGGGGCGGACACGAAAGACTTCATCGTGGCTGATAGTAGTGTTTCAGGGACTAGTGGCCATTTCTCTTATACTAAACTCCTCTCCTGGTACTGTATAACTCATCTGATTAATACCGGGTTCACCAGTTATCCCGGAATTTCACTCTTGTCAGCCCCTATACATCTGATTTCCCTAAACATACCACCACTCTTCATGCCTAAATCGGCTTTTAATATATCCCATGTACTTTGATATCGTATGTCAGCAAACCAAACTCCTGGCCGCGGGTCCATTAAGTACAAATCCATCTATATCCTATTCCATATAATCGCTTGTTGTCATTACATAACCGCCGCGGACATCAAGTTGTTCTTTCTATGTATAATAATGCATGTTACCCCATTTGGTGCCTCCTCAAACCCACCATGCCTTACTCATTTTATCCCGCTTCATCTTCCCAAGCTTTGAACTTCGGCAATGCCTGGTTTGGACGACATGGTTGGCTGTCATCTGATTCAACTGGCCTGTGACCTACAACCACAGGATCATCAAACGGACCAAAAAACCCTGCGATTCCATATCGGCTTCGCTCCACCTTGTGTCCCCGACCAGCCTGAAATGAGTCACGCTGCTCAAATAACCGCACATCTTAGCCATATCGCCTTAAATGTGACGTGCATCACCGGGCTGTGCAAAAACTGAAGGATGTGAGGCCAGTGATGACACGGCACTGAAATACCCAGTCTGATAGCAAACCTGCGACAGTTCCATTCCTTCTCTCACCCGAGCCCTCTCGACCACTCGTTCCATTAACCGCAAACACAAACCTCCACTTGACCCCACCTGCCTCCATGACATATTAATTCCAACCCGCTAAACTATTTCTTTGAATTTAACCATCTGTAGGTGTGTGCTTCCTACAAAATTCAATGACTCTCTATACAGTTCATGTTCCGGCACGCGTATTGCCATCATCTTACTCATCCAAGGACCTATTATGCCCAATCCCAAAGCAACAACACCTGTGAGCCTCTACAGTTTCGCTGCACACAATGTCTCCGTGATTTTTGTTAACGCTTATCCGCTTTACTAATCCCTCCACTTCCTCATCGCCACTTACGCTTTTTGTGACCCTGGCCATGAGCCCAACAGTTCAAGGCCATGAGGCTTTGGAGGTGGTTTTAGGTTTCAGTTCAACATGAACGGCCGGATGACACCAACTCTGCTGCTTTACCTGATCTGATTTCGTGGTTTCTCATTTTTCACCGTTAAAACTTTTCTTGTCATGTGTCAGGCAGGAACCTCTTGTATTGCCCTCCCTTGCTCTGCTTTTGTGCCAGCCACCTTCAAATCCTAACGATCTGATGTTGCTCAATATTCTCTCCAATAATGCATGGTAACTGCGCTTCCATGTTAGTGCTGGTTTAGTGATTATCATGCTTATATCAGATAATGCCCACCCCCTCTGACACTGCCCCCTTTCCAAACCTCCCCTGTTCCCTCAATCCCCGCCAGGCATCTTTTATTCTGGCTGTAACATTATGATCATACCTGGCGGTATGTCACCCACAAGTTGGGAGTAAACGTTATTGATATAATTGTTATTACAGTTTCTCATCATTTGTTGGGGAAGAACCCTTAGTTTTGACCTCCCGTCGTGTTGTTAACTGTCATCCTTGAATGTGAAGGCCCCATTTTAATTAAAGTCGGTATGTGCCATGCATGCTTGGAACAACCTATAATTCGTGTTTTCCTGTTCCCGATGTCTACTGCGTTTAGGCTTGACCCATCTGTGCCGAATAATGCCTACTATTTATAACTGCCTTCTTTTTTTTCGTTGCTGGTCAACGACAATCGTCATCAGTCGAGCCGGTATTCTGGCCGTACCACAAGATCATCCCTAGCGGTACGCCAGTCATCAGTTGGGACTAAACGTTACCATTATTAATAAAAAAATAGTTGCACTTAGTACATAATCCTCGTGCAAGAAGACCTTCTTAAAGTGCTGGTCTTAATAACCGGTTTTAATAACGAATATCAGATTTCTTCGGTTGCCCCTTGGGCCGTAGTCACATAGCGAGTTGTAGTATAACAGGAGTGTGACAGTCAAGCGTCATCAGAACGCTATATGAGGTAGCTCACTTAGTGATTTAAAGTTGAAAAATGTGAGCCAATGAACCTGAAAGAGGATGGTAACCGTTAATAGAAGGAAAATATATTTACACTCATAAGTGGAAATGAGTGAAAGAAAAAACCGAAAGATACAAAATGGAGGTCAAAGAGAAGAGAATATGTGCGCACATACTACTTAAATTGATTAGTTGCTGTAACCTTCAGGTGTTCTGTCCCATCCAAGGGAAAACTCTCTCTTTGGGACAGAGTTCTAGCCGAACATTTTGCAAGTACCTTGATGAATTGCAGTGTGATTCTGATCGTGGAAAGTCCACCGACAGATCGGGCACTGGCGTTGAACTTGAAGTCGAGGGTTGCTTTGAGAGCCCCACAAATGCTAAAAACGTCAAACTATCAGTCTCCAGCGCCGCCGGCTATTTGCACACCCAAATTATTTTTGCCAAAACTACAGTCTCCAAAGTTGTGACTTTAACCGGGAGTTAGTCTAACCCATTTGCACCTTCTGGTGATGTGTTGCACGTAGCATTTTGCTTGAGTGAGAGAAATTTCAGGGTCACAGTCCCTCACTGATTCGCATTTTCTTACCCCTTTACGCGACACAAAACAAGAAATCGCACTTTAGCATATTTCGGCGTTCTTCGGTGTTTTTTGAGAATCTAAATAATATCTAACGTAAATTCCACTCAGCTTTGACAAATGCGATTATGCTGGCAAAATACATTTTGTTCGGCGAACCGGGTCACAACACATTATCTCGTGGATCTCAACTTCCATTAAGTGCAATAGTGTTAGACAGCTTTATGAACTGTGCAGTGGCAACGCGGGGACTATCTCTTTTGATGATCTCCTTTCCCAGATATGCATAACTTGCCTTTAGATAAGACAGCATCACAAGACAGCTGCATGTATCATTCCTATTATGAGTGGGACGCTCCATAGATGATGACCGTCATGAAGCGCCATGATAATGGAACAGTTGTCACTCACCTCGACGCTGATTATGAGACCGCGCCCATGCACAGTAACAAATTCCAATGGCCAACGACGGTCTTTCATACCCATAAACATACGCGATACCGCTTATCTTTGCTACATATAGTAACCATCAGCCCAGTACCCATGAGCATGGGCAAAAATAAGGCCTCAGCTATGTTTGATATTCTGATCTAATGGCCCATCATACCCGTTGCTGTACTCGATGTCGCCTCGCCTGGATGCCTATCGTATCTGCTAGTTCCGTGTTCATGTGCGGCATTGATTAACTGATAACTTAATCCAAAACACTCTGTCGTATTTGTAACCGTACGCGTTGTCGCTTATCATTGCCATGTGCGAGAAACCCCGGGCCAGTATTTATGCGAACCGATGAATACGAGGTCTAAACTATG